TTCCGGTTAGTGGAAATGGGGCGGGGGGGCGTCCCCGGTTCAGATCACTAAACCAGGTCCACTAAACCCAGTTCTGCCAACGCCCGACAGGACATCCGTGAGTCGGGCGTGTCCCTCTACAGGAGGAATAGGCAAAAAAAGTGTTCAAAATAGTATGGGGACGATGTTGCACCATTTTTGATCAGCTTTGGAGTATTGTTTGGCCGATTTCTATGTTCCGCTTGTAGAGGGGGACATGCCCGACATAACGCCATCCAGCAGTTGATTGCAGACAGCCCGCACAGCAAGGATGGGCAGCCTTCCCAGTAAGTACCCTCGGGGCAGCGGCAGGTCAGAGGAGGAAAAGGTGCCCGGGGCCTCGATCCTCGGGGCGGTGACGGGGGGGGGGTCCGGGTCGGGGCCGTGAGCTCTCCCCGAGTCCTCTCCTCTTGTTTCCATGCGTCCCTGGACCCCCCAGCGGTCCGCGAGCATGCCACTGGCTGTCATCTGCGGAGGAATCGCAGGCCTAGAGGTTGACACCCACACCAACATCGGCGGTGGGCCTCCACCGAGGGAAGAAGATCCCGATCTCGGTGATGGCAGTAATACTCCGGCTTCCAAGGGGACCGAGATATTACCACCAACGCCGAAATCGAGGATCATCTTCCCCCTGTGGAGGCCCCCCTCTGTGCTGGTGCTGGTGCCCATTTCCAGGCCTCCAAAGGAGGAGGTGCGCAGAGCTGCCCGAGCTGCTTCGAGCCAAGGCCGCGGGTGGGGCCCCGGCCCCGCTCGGGGGGGCCACGACGCAGTCCACCCGCTCGGGGAAGGCTGCCAAGCAGTGGCGAAGCGCCCCGGCGTGCCTACAGCCCCACCAAACAAGGTTCTAAGGATCGGGGGCGGAAAAGAGGGGGGTGATGACTAGGGGGGGGTGGATATCATGGCGTGGGCCATGATATTTCCCCAGATCTCATGGCGCCTCTTCTTATTTGCGTCCCTGGCCCCCCCGCTGGGCCGCGCACATGCCGCCGGTCATGATTTGCACCCCCCCCTCTTGGACACCCCCCTCTTGGCCGCTCCCGAAAGGACCTTTTGTGGTTCCCAGGAGATGTTCTCAGAACATTTCTGGCTGGGGCTGTCCTGTTTTCTCACATCGGGTTCATGGTCTAAGAGCACTGTTTGTGCTCTAAGAACATGTTTGGGTTCTGAGAACATGTCGTGGTAGGACTATAGGAATGCCGGGACGGTCGGTCCCTGCTCAAGGATGGGCAACCCTCTCGAAGGTACCTTTGCATAGCAGCTCACAGCTCCGAATCATCAGGGGAAATTCGGGTCAGGGCCAACTCGGGTTCCTTTTTCGGGAGTCCGAGCCCGAGTTACCCCGGGCCCGAGTTACCCCAGATAATTCGGGCGTCCAGAGCCCCAAATCATCAGGGGCAATTCGGGTCAGGGCTAACTCGGGTTCGTGTTTCGGGACTCCGAGCCCAAGTTGCCCCGGGCCCGAGTTACCCCGGATAACTCGGGCACCCAATTTGCCCCTCCGGCCCATCCTGAGCGCTCTTCGCCGGCCAGCCTCGTTCGAGGAACGTGAACATTCTGCACGAACGAAATGGGCACGGAAAGAATGGGTACAATGCCCAACAGCGGGTCCTGCTCCTCTTGAAAACAGGACTCGCTGGCAGTGTCGCCGCGGCCTGTGAACCACTTGAGACAGAAGGCCGCCTGCGGAACAGTGGCCGCTGTTGGTCTGGGACAACCTTTGTCGTCGGGCCTCGTACCCACTCTTTCCGTACTCAGGAGGGAAAGAAACACACAGACACAATGAAGCCTCGATTCCCCAGAAGATATGGGGAACTATGGGAAGTGGGGGGGAAGACAAAAACCCAGAAGATATACGAAAACCTTGGGAATTCTTCGAATTGTGTGTGTATTTGTTTGTGTGTCCTGGAGTCCCTTCACGTACCCACCTCGGGCGTCCGAAAACATGGCCCTCCAGGGCCCCGGCAGCCCCGGCAGTCCAAAGAGGATGCGTCGGGCGACCGTGGCCTCCGTCCCGGGCATGGCATCGCTCGGACGTGTGTATGTTTTCCTCGGCGAGAACCAGCGAGGACCATCCTGGACCATCGAGCAAAGCAAAAAACACGCACGAAACCCTCCGAAAAACGTGGCCCTCCATAGGGCCCCGGCAGCCTCGCCGCGGTCGCCCTCGCGGGGCGGGCCGGCGGCGGGTCGCAGGCGGCAGGCGGCGCCCAGGCCGCGGCCCGCGCCTCGGGCCTCGGGCCCTCCCAGGCGGGGCCGCGGCCCCGCCTCGGGGGGCGGGGCGGCGGGTCGGCACGGGAGCGGGGACTATAGGAGCCACCAGCAGCAGCAGGGGCGCTTGCAGACGCGCCATGCTCGGGGGGGGAGACACACACAATGCTTGCAGACACAATGCATCGTCCATTCCCCCCGAACTATATGGGAGAACGTGGAAGCGGTGGGCAAGACGAAGATCCAGAGCATATGAGAAAAGATTGGGAATCATGTTGTTTGTGTGTGTATTTGTTTGTGTGTCCTGGGGCCCCTTTAGTGTTCAGTTTTGGGAGCAGAGTCCGTCATTGCCCTTGATGAGGCTTCGCGGGACGCCCACGCCCTCTTGACACCTTGCAGCTGTGCTAACATCGGGGGCGGCAAAGAGGGGGGTGATGACTAGGGGGGAGGGGATATCATGGAGGGGGCCATGATGTTTCCCCAGATTTCATGGCGCCTCTTCTTATTTCGTTACGTCCCTGGCCCCCCCGCTGGGCCGCGCACATGCCGCCGGTCATGATTTACACCCCCCCTCTTGGACACCCCCCTCTTGGCCGCTCCCGATGACAGCTGAAACTTGGGTTCCGGTTCCTTGAGCTGCGGAGCGGAACAGAACAGGTCGGAGGCATTGCGGGATTCGCCTCGAAATTTTGGAGCAGAGCGCAGCCCGGACCCCCGGCGAGGGTCGGGGAGCAGCGGCACATCGGCACGTTCTGTTGTCTCCCAGAGAGGCACAGTGGAGGGTCTCTCCAAAGAGTTTAGGCGACCTGTCTTCCTCCTCCTCCTCTCGCCTCCTCCTCATCATTCTTCCTCCCCCTCCTCCCCCTCCTCACCATTCTTCCTCCCCCTCCTCCCCCTCCTCCTCCTCCTTCCCCTCCTCCTCCTCCTCCTCCTCCTCCTCCTCCTCCTCCTCCTCCTACTTATGCACCCCCTATTCCGGATTCCAGATTCCGGATTCCCAGATACTAGAATTCCCGATCCCCGGATTCCAGATTCCGGATTCCAGATTCCCGGATTCCAGATTCCCGGATTCCAAAGTCCAGATTCCCGGATTCCGGATTCCAGAATTTGGTTTCCCGGATTCCCGATTCTTGAATGCCGGATTCCCGGATTCCAGATTCCGGATTCCCGCGGATTCGGGATTCCAGAATCTGGTTTCCCGGATTCCGGATTCCGGATTCCGGATTCCAATTCCGGATTCCGGATTCACGTTAGAGCTTGTTGTTTTTAAATGCCCTGGGCAACCACACAAATCCCACACACACACACACCTTTGGTTTGTCTGATGTTTGCTCTGATGTCTTCCTGCGTTTGCTCGCTGGTGCCGACAATCAATGAGCTTCCTGGGGTCTCAGGGTCGGGTTTCTTGTGGAAGGTCTCCTGTGGACTGGCCTCCTCAGTGCTTCAGGAGGGAAAAAACACAGACACAATTCATCGTCGATTGCCCAGAACAGATGGGGAAATATGCAAAGTGTGGGGGGGGAGACAAAAACCCAGAAAATATGATAAAGCATTGGGATTTGTTTTATGTGTGTGTATTTATTAGTGTGTGTCCCAGGGCCTCTTCAGTGTTCTTGTTTGAGAGCGGCACGTCTGGTCAGGCGGCGCATCCTGGGGCAGCGTGCAGAGGAGCACCGGCGGGTGCAGCCGGGGGTGCCCGCCCCCCGCGCCCGAGAACCAGCAAGAAGTAAGTCGGGCGTGTCGCAGGTGGGAAAAAACACAGACACAATTAATCGTCGATTCCCAGGAAAAGATAGGAAAAGATGGGAAGTGGGGGGGGAAGACAAAAACCGAGAAAATATTAGAAAATATGCAGAATATTGTTATTTGTGTGTATTTATTTGTGTGTCCTGGGGCCCCTTCAAAGAAGTAAGTCGGGCGTGTCCCCCTGCAGGAGGAGCACTCAAAAATTGTGCAAAACAGTCTGGGGACGAGTTTGTCTTGCCAGTTTTAACTATCTGGGAGATGTTCGGAGTGTCCCTTATCTTTCGCCCAAGATCCGCCCCCAGGGGGGGCAGGCCCGACTTAGGACAAGAGTCAGGCGATCGCACACATGGATTAGGGGGGCGTGGATTAGCGACGGGTCCCGTTTCCATGGGAAATCGCGGACTCCCGCCAGCGAGCGAGGCGCCACCGGCCGCATTTTGGGTTTGGGGGGAGGGCACCTCCCCCGATCCATGGACTTGGCGACCGCGCGCCAAATCCATGGATCGCCAAATTCGTGCCTGCACGCCCCCGAAAGAAGTGGAGGACCTGGCTCGCCCGCAGGGGCGCGAAGGTGTCGGGGGCTCCCAGACGGTGTGGTGACCGCACCGTGCGGTGAGTCGCCGGGGAGTCGGGGTCGCCGCGCGGTCTTGGGACCCGGGCCGCTCTCCGAGAACCTCCTCCTGCTCCTATTCCTGCTCCTCCTGCTCCAGCTCCTCCTCCTCCTCTTGCTCCTCCTGCTCCTCCTCATGCTCCTCCTGCTCCACCTCCTCCTCCGCCTCCTCCTCCGCCTCCTCCTTCCTCCTCCTGCTCCTCCTCCTCCTCCTTCTCCACCTCCTGCTCCTCCTCCTCCTCCTGCTCCTCCTCCTCATACTCCTGCTCCTCCTCCTCCTCCTGCTCCTCCTCCTCCTCCTCCTGCTCCTCCTTCTCCTACTCCTGCTCCTCCTTCTCCTGCTCCTCCTCCTCCTACTCCTGCTCCTCCTCCTCCACCTGCTTTTCCTCCTCCTCCTACTCCTACTCCTACTCCTAGTTCCTCCTCCTCCTCCGCCTCCTCTTCCTCTCCTCCTCCTCCTCCTCCTCTTCCTCCTGGGGGGTTGGGCCCAACGACACTCGCCCATCCAAGGCCCATTTCGATTCGATCGATCCGATTCGATATCGATTCTGACCAGCCCGGTCAGTTTGGGTTCTGATGTTCCACAGATCCGATGCGGCTTGGTCTTCGAGCCGCTCCTCGGATCTCCATGCTGGCGAGCCCGCTCGTAGCCGAGACTCGGAGCGGTCGAGAAGCCGCTGCGTTCCTGATGCAGGTTTCCCATCGGGGTCCCAGACGTCACGATTGTTGCACAGGCCAGCCCTCAGAGGTCTCCACCAATGCCCCCAGCCAGACTCGACACATTCTCCGAGACTCGACCCATTCCATGGGACTCGACCCGTTCCCTATCCCAGACCCCCAGAGGTCTCGATCCATTCCCCTGGACCGGCCCTTCACCCAGAGGCTTCGTGTTGATTGTCCTGGGTCCCGCAATAAGGGCTCCCAGAGGCCGCGAATGGCAGCAGCAGAGAGGCCCGTTGTGCTTCTCCCACGACGCGCGAAGGTCTGGGGCGGTGCAGGAGGGGAAAACACACAGACACCAGGAATCGTCGATTCCCAGGAAAAGAAGGGAACATGTGGGAATTGGGGGGGAAGAGAAGAACCCAGAAAACATGAGAAAATATAGGGAATATGTTCATTTATGTGTAATTATTTGTGCGTCCCAGGGCCCCTTCACGGTGGCGCGCGGGCTGCCGGCGAGGGGGGCTCCCGCCGTGCCCCCCCCCCCCCCCCGCGAGAGGCCAAGAAGGGCATGGCCGCCAGCGGCAGCTCGAAGGCGGAGGCCGAGGGCGACCTCGGCGCCCACCTCGAAGGATCCTCCTCCTCCTCCTCGTCCTCCTCCTCCTCCTCCTCCCCTCCTCCTCTCCTCCTCCTCCGCCCTCCCCCTCCCCCTCCCCCTCCTCCTCCTCCTGCTCCTACTCCCCCTCCCCCTCCTCCTCCTCCTCCTCCTCCCTCCTCCTCCTCCTCCTCCTCCTCCTCCTCCTCCTCCTCCTCCCCTCCTCCTCCTCCTCCTCCTCCTCCTCCTCCTCCTCCTCCTCCTCCTCCTCCTCCTCGCACCAGAACAAACAGTGACATAAACATAAAAACTCGGAGGTCCGCGCGGATTTCTCGGATCGGCGCTGGGGCCCCCCGACGGCGCCTCGGGCGCCGCCCCTGGCGCGCTCCGCGCGCCAGGGAGGGGGGTCCAGCGCCGATCCGAGAAATCCGTCTGGACCTCCGAGTTTTTATGTTTATGTCACTTCTTGTCCCCCTAAACATGGATGAGCAAGGGTGTTCACGGCTTTCGGTCGCTTCGGCTGCGTCGCGGCCAGCTGCGTTCAGTCGGTCCTGGTTGCCTGCGGCCTGCCGATTCCGGTCGGCTTCGGTGTCGCTGTCGGCTCGGCCGGTTTCGGGGCGTGCTGCCGCCGTGCACGGCCTCGAGGACGGCGCGTGGATGCGCGAAGAGGCTTGTTTGCGCACACGGTCGGCGCGCTCCGTCGCCGGACCAGGCGGCATTGGTCGCAGGGTCGCCTCCAGTCCTCCTGCTTCCGGGGGTGCGCTCACCGATGCGTGGACCTCACAGAATGGTGGAGTATGGAGGACCAGTTCGTGACCGCGACTTGAGATCATTCACGTTTTTTCACAAGGGCTACGGCTCTTCTCGTCCCGCCCAAATGGGCGCGGCTCTACCCGCAGTAGAGCCGGATGGACGCTCGCTCGCTCGCTCGCTCGCTCGCCCACGCGCCAGACCCACGGATGCCTCACTCCCCAATCAGCGCTGGCACTGACGGAATCATGCAGTCAAAACCCTAAGAAGGACGCGCGGCTTTGCTCAGGGCACCCTTGCGTCCTTGCTCTTCCTTGCTCTTGCGTCCTTGAGGTGTTCGTCGTCCGCCGCCCCAAAAAATCCCAGCTTCGGCTTCCAAGGGCCTTGCGTCCTTACCGCGCGCCCTCAGTAGGGTTTTTGACTGTAGCGGCACTTGAAAGATTTGGCGGAAGTTTCCCGCCGAGTTTGGTGGCCGGCCGGGTTCCCCGGTTCCCGGGTTCCCGGGTTCAGGGTGGGGCACCGGAGCAGCAACAGTCAGGAGAGGAAAAAACACACAGACACAATTAATCCTCGATTCCCCAGAAAATATGGGAAAATATGGGAAGTGGGCGGGGAGACAGAAACCCAGAAAATATGGGAAAATATGGGGAATATTTTTATTTGTGTGTATTTATTTGTGTGTCCTGTGGCCCCTTCAAACAGATTCCCAAGCACGAGCGCCAGACCTCCGCGCGGATGCCCTCCCCGGCGCTGGACCCCCTCCCTGGCGCCGCCAGGGGGGTCGGGCGCCCCGCGCTCTGCGCCTCCTCTGGTGCGCCACGCGCTCTTCTCCTCCTCCTGGTGCTCCTCTCCTCCTCTCCTCTCTCAGGAGGGGAAAAAACACACAGACACAATTAATCGGCGATTCCCAGAAAATATAGGAAAATATGGGAAGTGGGGGGGAAGACAGGAACCCAGAAGATATCGGAAAATATGGGGGATATTTTTATTTGTGTGTATTTATTTGTGTGTTCCAGTTCCCCTTCACTCTCTCTCCTCCTCCCCTTCTCTGGTGCGGAGGGAGGCAAAAAGCCACCCGGACCCCGACGAATGGCGTTCCAAACGGCCCTGGGCGTCTACTGCACGGCCCTGCCCCGTTCGATTGCTCCCCATGGGTGCGTTGACGAAACGGCTTCGCTTTTGTCGGCGGGTGCTTCTGATGGGGGGGGGTCTGCCCTCGACAGTCAAGACGCTGACATAAGGAACAGTTTGGGTTCGGAAGGGGCTCGATGTTCCTTAGGTTCCTCCAGTGCTGTTCCTCTTGCCCTCCTGGGGCACGGAGGCGCTTAGAGGGCCAAGAAGGGGCTTCGTTCCTCATTTAGCGTTCCTTCTTTCAGCGGCCCGATTGTATTTCAGAACCCCGAAATTCGCCCTGAAGGAGAGGGGTCCCGAAGGAAACACGTCCAGCTGGGTTGCTTCGCCGTTCTCGGGCTCCCCGGGGCCCTCCCGCGGCACCGGGAGATGTTCTAGAAGCACGTCGAGACGAAGAGCGGGTCTTGGGGAAAGTCCCCGAGGGCCAGCGCCGTTTCCCGCAAGACCCGGTTCTCTCATGCCTGTTCGCTTCGGATGCCCCCAACAATCTGGAATCTCAGTATGTGGCGAGTCAGTTCAGGGGAGGGCCAGTCGAGACAGTGGTAGATGTATGTCGGGCCTGTCCCCCTACAGGGGAATTTTCGACGAAAAATAGAAAATACCCTAAAAGTAGCAAAAAAGAGTCCAAAAATAGTCCAGGGACTATTTTTTGAGTATGTTTGGAGCTTTTCGGGGGTATGATTCGGGTATTTTTTATCTTTCGTCGAAAATCCCACTGTAGGGGGACACGCCCGACATAGTGATAAATGGATTTCGGGGGGCCCCGCGTCGCCTCGGCTGAACGCAGCTCGGACAATTTGTGCGTCTGGACCCCCGCAGGAGTCCAGGGATTGATTTGGGGCTGTCGCTGTCTCAACTCGCCCTGCTCCGATCGGTAGGGATCTGGGGTGACAGCACTTCAGGAGGGGAAAAAAACACACAAACACAATTCATCGTCGATCCCCCAGAGATGATATGAGAAACTATGGGAAGTGGGGGGGAGGCAAGAGCCCAGAAAACATGGGAAGATATGGGGAACATGGTTTTGTTGTGCCTATTTTGTTGTGTGTGTCTCTGGGCCCCGTCACTCGGAGGTGGATAGACCTCCAACCCTGACACGTCGATTAACGAATTGGCCGTTTTCGGTTCGCGAGAGGGCGTCGCGGCCGTCATGCTTGCGGGTCCAGGTCCTTCGGTTTCGGTCCCAGGCCGTTTTCACTAAGGGGAGGTTTACGAAAGGGAGATTTGTCCACCGCTGGGTGAACGTTTGTGGGACTCGGGTCGTCCATCGAGGGTGCCTCCGCCGACGGGGGCCCCGCGGGGGCCTCGGAACCGTGCGGCGACGGGCCGCGCGTGAGGTCTTCGGGGGTTCCCGAGGTCACCGCACGGTCTGCCACCGACGCCAACGACGACGACGACGTCGACGACGACGACGACGACGACGAACGACGAGGACGACGAGGACGACGACGCCGACGATGGCCGACGACGACGACGACGACGACGACGACGCACCGTTTCGGGACTCCAAAGTCTCAGAACCGTGCGGCGACGGGCCGCGCGTGAGAGGTCTTCGGGGATCTTTCGAGGCCACCGCACGGTCTGCCACGGCGCACCGTTGCGGGACTCCAGAGTCTCACAGAACCGTGCGGTGACGGGCCGCGCGTGGGGTCCTTCGGGGATTATCCGAGGACACCGCGCGGTCTGTCGCGGCGCACCGTTGCGGGGCCCATCCGAAGAGGACCCATCCGCGTAAAGATGTGTTTTCGGAGCTCCGCGCGGACCTATTGGATCCGCCTTCTGACCCCCCGCGGATCTATTGGATCCGCCTTCGGAACCCCCCCTTGCGTTCCTCGCCACGCCTGGCGCGCTGAGGCCCAGCGCCGACCCGAGAAGTCCGCGCGGACCTTTCCATGTCGAGTTTCTGAAGATGGTCTTCTTCCGCGAATGTGATTTTGTGAAGGCTTCGAGGCCGGCGCCGGCGAACCGTGAAGGGGGAGCCTGAGGAGTCTGGAAGGCAAGGGGTCGAGTGGAACAGCTTCTCCCAGGGAGGGGTGCTGCCCCACGGGGGGGGGGAGTCACAACCCCTCTAGGCCTCCCAGATGGGGTCGGAGTAGATAGGGTCGGAGGATCGCGCCGCATCGCCGATGCCTCGGCGATGCGGCTCGATGTGGAGCCCGATTTGCTTCACGTCGACGTCTCCAATGCATCGCCCACGTCGACGATGATTCATCGCTGGTGCATCGCCGATGCATCGCCGATGCATCACCGATGTATCAGCGATGCGGCGCGACCCTCCGACCCCATCTACTCGGACCCCATCTAGGGGGCCTCTAACCCCCCGGGACCCCGGTCCACCCCCCATCCACCCCCACCCCCACCCCCCCATCCCACCCCACCCCCAGCGTGGAAGGGATCAAAGGGGAGGGGCTTTCTTTCGACTCGATTACGACGTTGCTCGATTTCTTTTTGGCTGGGACGTTTGAAGAGGAGAGCTTACGGACAGGGGCAGCAGGGAGCGATGACTGCGACAACGACGGCGAGGACGACGACATAGACGGAAACGCCTCTCGCACACGCCGACAGGGGCGGCAGGCAGGTTCCGATGAGGAGGCGAGTCTGCAGTCGAGACGGGGCTCGTCGGCCCAGAGGTTGCTTGCCATGTGGGCATCCTGGCCTGCCCGCCAGAGTCGGGGCAGCTCTCGCGGGGGCGGCGGCCTGCACCCTCGGCAGCGGCAGGTCTTCGGCAGTCTTTTCCACAGGGTGCTCGAGGGCCGCGCGCGGCGGCCCGGGGGGGCCCTCAGGGCCGCCGCCCCTCGCGAGGGGGGTGTGCGGCTGGGCAGCGGCGGAGGTGGCCGCGGGCCCGCCCCCCGGCCGCGCGGCCCCATGCTCGCGCTGCGCCGCCTGGAGCTCGCGGGGCGGCGCAGGAGGCTGCAGCTGCTGCTGCTGGCCGCCGTGGCGTGCGCCCTCGCGGGGGTCCTCGCGCTGCCGAGGCCGAGCGCGGGGCCGCGGGCCGAGGCGCGCGCGGCGGAGGCGCCGTGGCGGGCGGTGGCGAGCGGGACCTACTACTATACCGTCTGCAACGGCTTCACGAACCAGCTGCTGTGCCACGCCGGGCACATCGCGGCGGCGATCCGGATGAATCTCTCGGTGGTGATACCGAACGTGTTCATCCTG